CAAATCCCACTTGTGAAAAGGTACAAGAGGACCTTCCCTGATTTTCAGTGATTCGGTATTTTTAAAATGACTTCTGCCATGAACTGACATTTTTACCCAGTTCAAAAGTTCACTAGAAGGGAGGGTTGACTTATGGGTCAGGGTGTAGAAGGTCAGTATTGGTGCTGGTGCACATGCTTTCTTAACCCAATCTGCTAAGTGTTTTTTTCCTCTTCCTTAGAGTTTTGGAAAACCTTGAGACTAGTTTTCAAAACCCCACAAGGACAGTAGCCATGTAGGATGGGGGATCAGGGGAGCTGTAGTCCAAAAGAGAAAAACTAGAAATCACTAGGATCTATAATTCTAGTGAGTTTGACATGACTTAGGCTTTCTCTTTTGCTTCAACAGAGTAAAACGACTACTAGCAGCTAGACGATGTACAGTATTTAGTCCAAAGGAGTAGCATTTTCTAATCCCGGTCCCTTCTACATCTCTCGGCTTTCTTTCCCATCAAATCGGTCGGGCACAAACACCCCATCCACACGAGGACTCTCCTTCCTGGCTGTAGGGATACCAGAGGGGAGCTCTGACGAGATACTGATGTTGGGTCCACTTGGAAGGTTGAAAGGCGGGAGTCTTGCCCTTTGGAAAGAAAAATAGGCGGGAAATAGTGGGCGCCTGGCAGGCGTCCTTCAAACGGGCAGACTCAAGGCGGGCAGGTGGGTGGGGGACAGAGAGGGGTTCTCAGTCAAACACAAAAGGCAGGAGCGTCACCCCGAAAATCCACGGGACGGGACGTCCTCGGAGAGTGAGATGCCCTCCGGACGTCGCACGCCGAGACCCGCCGGTGTGCCAGACTTAACTGTATGAATCTGTAGGACGTATCCAGCCCCAGACTCGTTTGTTCGGAACGTGTGTGTGTGTGTGTGTGTGTGTGCGCGCGTGCGGCGGGAGGGAAAGGACTGAGACTCGTCCTCCATTCAATAAAACGAAACCCATCGTCGTGACGGGAAAAAAAGGGACTCCTCTTTCCGTCGAGGCGCCGCGCCAGGAGAGCAGGTTCTCCTAACCACGGCCAGCCAGCCAGCCCCCCCCCACCGCAAGCTTTTCTCTCTCGCGGACGCAGCGCTCAAAAGGGAGCGGACGGAGCTCAGGAGCCCTTGTGCCT